CGGCCCTGGGGAGTTTGGGGAGTGTCACCACCCTCTTTTGCAGACTTGCGCGGTGCTGGCGGTGACCCCGGGCGGGTCATTGGCCGCTGCGGTGCCCAGCTGCTTGCTCTTCGGCGTAGACGGTTTGCGGGGCTGGTATTTGGGATTCGCACACTGGTGGTTTTTTTTTTTTTTTTTTTGAGGAAAGCAAATTTTATAACATGAAAAAGATTATTTCCGATCTCTACGATGTTTGGATTATTTTTATCGTTTTCTTTGGAAACATGAATATCTAGGAAATTTAGTATAAATATTACCACCGTCCTCATTTCGTTTGCACAGCACATAAGAATTCATAGAAACAGTTGACTACTTCTTGCTTAATAAATATTGATAAGTAAATCAAAGGAAATACAGTTTTCTCAGAAATAGAATATAAATATGCCAGGGTTGTTTATATACCACGTGGTTTGATTTGTTTCATTTTCAGAAAAACTAGAGAAAAAGTAGAAAATAGTAAAAGCTAGCATTTAGACGTAACTACTCTTTTTAAAAAAATTTTCCTCTTTTGAGAAATCTGTTCTGAAGTGGTTTAATGTAGGCCTGCTCGGAGAGAGAACTGAGAAATTAAAGATAATTTGAGAATATTTTGAAACTTTTTAGAACACAGAAGTGCTACTTGGACTTCTGCTGCTGTGTTTATAATCCGATGAGCATCAGTGAGTCCATTTAATCTTTCCTAGAAAATTAGAAAGAATAACAAAATTTGTTGCTCGTGTTTGCGATTTGACTTCAGGATTCTGAGTGCGTGAATGTTAAGCATGAAACATAATTCAGGAGCGTGGCAGGCACTGCTAGGTTGTTGTTACCTCACTGAGATGCATCTCATACTTTTTAACTTTTAAGGATTTAATTGGCTAGTATTCTTAGTGATTTTAGCAAAAAATGTTTTAAAAGATACCTGATGAGATTAATCATATCATAGTTTAAGTATAATAGATTTGCTTCATCTTGAGACCTCACATTTTAACATGCTGACATCCACTAATTGGTCTTTTCCAGTGGATTTAGTGCCATAAACTTCTTAAGAGGTCATTTTCAGTATTAGCTTTTTTAAATAAAAACTTGCCAGAAAGGAATAAACGCGCGCATCGGCAGCAGGCGTGTCCGGGCGCGTGCGGCAGAGGCGTGCCGTGGCTTGCACGGGGCTTCAGGGAGCTGGTTGGTGTCGACCTGCTGGTGCTGGTTGGTGTCGACCTGCTGGTGCTGGTTGTGAGCCTGTTTGATGTCACCTTCGTAGTGGGCAGTGTTTCCTTTACCTACAGAGGACGGCAGACGAGGTGACCTTGGTGAAAGTCCCAATGATCCGACTTCGCTTTTAACTCCAAAAGCACTCCACTCGTCACGTTCTTAAGTGTGTCGGCACCCCATGACAGTATTTATCGTGTGTCAGCCCTCCTCGCTGCAGACCCGAGAGTTCAGAATCGGACACGTCCTTCCTCAAGCTCGAAGTCTAGTGACAAAGAAGGCCTGAAGCGGGGTGTGGCGAGAGGGGCAGCCAGGACGCTCTGGGCGAATGTGTTTGGGAGCCCAGCCTGGCTTAGGGACCGTGGGGACCTGGAGGGCCCGCAGGGGCGAGACAGGCAGAGAGGAGCGTGGGGGAGGCCGGCGTCCACGTCGATAGCAACCAGGTGATGCCGCAGATGGTACCTGCCAGGAGGGACAGGCAGCGGTGGGACGTGGAGTGTGGCATCGAGGTGGCATCTCCACTGGACAGAAGGGGACAGGGACAGGGCAGAGCCCACAGGCTGAGAAGGCGGCCCAGCTGGAATGAGATGCAGGGGGCAGGCAGGGCTCTGGTCACTGGGGTGGGTCGCAGCCTGAGCGGGCCCGGGCCTGCCCGCCGGCCGCGGGAGGATGTGACGAAGCTGGCGCAGGCCGGGAGGAGCTGGGCGGGCGGAGAGGGCTGGGCAGGGACAGCGCTGCTTCGCTCTGGCCTGAAGGTGCTGGGGGGCGGCGGGACTCGGGGGGCCAACGCGCTCCTCGCAGGAAAGGCCAGGCGGCCCAGGCGTCAGCCAGGAGGAGGGGCGGAGAGGGACATAGCCCAATGTCACGAGACCCAAAGGACTCGTCCTGCAGGAGGGTAGAGTGGGCATGTGGACGGGGAGGACAGCGCCCCGCCCAGCCCCAAACCCTCGTCTGTCCTCGTCTCCCCTTGTCTGTCGTGAATCCCGCGGGCTGGCCTGCGGGGCCTCGTCCCCATCAGCTCTCCCTGTCCCCGCCGCCACCGCCCGGCGCCGGCTGCCATCGTCCCGGCCCAGACCGTTTCCCCTCCCTCTCTCTCCTCCCTTGTGCCACGTTTCACCACCACGCAATCCGTTTTCTCAAGAATCAGCCCTGCGACGCCCCTCCCTGCCACGGATGCTTCGGTGGCTTCCTGCCGTCACAGCCAAATCCAGACTTCCTGCGAGGCCCCACTCTGCTGTCGCCCTTTGTCAGGCGGCTCTCCTGACCCGCGGGGAGGCCAGCTCACGAACTGGACACCCCGCGCCTGTCGCTCCACTGCTGTGTTCCTCGTGCCGGGGGTCGGGGTTTCGGGGTCTTCAGTTACGGGGAGCGAGTTCCAGAGGGCGCAGAGGAACGCTTCAGGAGGAGGAGGGTGGCCGGGAGAGGACGCTCCAGGAATCGGGGTTCGTGGCGGTCACGGCCGTCTGATGATGGTACCAATGGTAAACCGAGGATTACGTAGAGCAGGACGTCACGTGGCCGAGCTGCCAACGCTTCGTAGGGCCCTGGCCACTCGGCCCTCCGGAGAGCGAAGGTCTGGGTTGGGGCATCACCATGGAAACCTCTCGTGCACCCCCCCCCCAGTTATTTGACCCCACCGCCAAAGGGGGGTCTGCGAACATGGAGACTTGCCCAGCCGGGTCACGCGGTCAGCCGGCCCGCCGTGGCCTTCGTGCGCGCAGGGCGAGCTTGCGGTTTTCTGACTCTAGAGCGTTCGCAGGGTGGCTCTGTTGGCCGTAAATCCTAACCCCCCTTTTCTTTTTGAAGGAAAATTAATTTTCAAAGAGAGACCGAAGTGGGTTGTCTCATTAGCCACATGACTGTTAAGGGACACGGTAGAGATTCATTCTGTTCCATCTAGGCTGTGTCTTCAGTAGGTGTGACTGTCGCTCCACTCTCTAGAGCTCCTGGCTTTCCTCTCGTCCTCGGGGGGGACTGTCTCCCCACACCCCGGATCGTCCTGGGGGGACCGTCCCCCCACACCCCGGATCGTCCTCGAGGGGGACCGTCTCCCCCACACCCTGGATCGTCCTCAGGGGGACTGTCTCCCCCACACCCCGGATCGTCCTCGGGGGGCACCGTCCCCCCACACCCCGGATCGTCCTCGGGGGGGACCGTCCCCCCACACCCCGGATCGTCCTCGGGGGGGACCGTCCCCCCACACCCCGGATCGTCCTCGGGGGGGACCGTCCCCCCACACCCCGGATCGTCCTCGGGGTTTCAAAGAGAGACCGAAGTGGGTTGTCTCATTAGCCACATGACTGTTAAGGGACACGGTAGAGATTCATTCTGTTCCATCTAGGCTGTGTCTTCAGTAGGTGTGACTGTCGCTCCACTCTCTAGAGCTCCTGGCTTTCCTCTCGTCCTCGGGGGGGACCGTCTCCCCCACACCCTGGAATATTACTCTAGTTTTTGTCGTTGCTGAAGCCACAGCATCACATTTGCTCATTTTTGATGCTGCTCTCAGCATTTGCCAGTGACCAAAAGCCACACGTGAATGTCACACAGGGCCAGGGGCAGAGCTCGGGAAAAGGCTTCTGCGTGGGCCTTGGCGAGATGTGACCGGGACTCCGCAGCATGGAGACCTCTGCAGGGCCGGGAGAAGTGTGGGGTCTGCTGAGCTCCTGAGGACCCTTTTCTCAGAAACCTTTCTGGAAAAGCTCGGTGCGTTATCTGGGGGTGGCTGGTGCTGTACCCACAGATGCTGTCGATCACCTTCTGTTGACAAGCAGACCGGAAGGCAGCTGGGCACAGCCGCTCCTCTTTCCGTGCAGCCCCTCTGCCGGGTTTTCCTGGCCCCCTCACCCCCCAGACGGGCGTGAGGCTGTGAACCTGGCCGTCCCTGGCGGGCCCAGCGCTCAGTGTCCTTCCGCTGTCTTCCTCCTGTGCAGGGGGTTCTGACGCAGGGATCTGTCACATGACACGTGGGGCAGTCGGCCCGTCAAGAGCCGGTGAGTGGGAGAGAGATTTCCGCCCACCTCCCTCAGACGCAGGCGCGCAGACCCCCTCCGCCTTCTAAATTCCAGTCAACAAGTGGCACCCGATACCCACCTGCCCGGCACTGCCCGGGGTCCAGGCGCTGTCCTGTGAGCGAAACGGGCCGTGGCCCCTCTGCACAGCCCGGCAGTTGTCGCTGGCTCTCGGACGGACGTGCAGTTAGATAGTTTTAGGAATAATTTACTGCAGAACAGCGCTAAGGAAAACCGAGGTGTCCTGGGACTCATGTGCCAGGCGGCCACAGAAGACCACAGCTTCCCATAAAGTCCCGGGCTGGACAGACCAGTCATCAGCTCTGACTCCTTTCCTGTTTCTTCAGTGCTCGGCTTGACGTAAACAGCATCTTCATATTCAGTGTGTATTTCCCGGAACAGCCGATTACTCATGCTTCTGAGAACAAACTCTTCAGTCTGGATTTAAATGTGATCAAGATGTGACAACGCTCGTCGCCTTTGATTTGGGAATCCCAGGCCAAGAGCTGGCTGTGGAACCTAGCGAGAGGTGGCTGCAGCGGGATTCTCGATGCTCCCCGCCCCCCCAAACAGGACAAAGGCCGAATGCCACAGAAGGAGCATAAAAAAATGACAGCATTTCATCTGATGGCATAGTTAACCACCGAAAATTATAAATACAAAGTGGCAACAGGGAATTATATAAAAAAGGACATTATGTAAAAAATTATACCTACGAGGAAAACAAAAGCGCAAATAGCGATGTGCTGTGGACGCGATTTAAAACGGCGTCCGTCGAGGGCGGGGCGGCGAGATCGTGCCGTTAACGCTTTCTTCCTCCTCCTCTGCTGATTTCCGTTAACGGGGTACGCTATTTCTGCGGAAGAGCTGAGGAGACCCGCCCGCGCCGAGCTTGGCGCTGGCCCCCGTGGATGGGGGCGATGAGGTGACCCGCCCACGCCGAGCTTGGCGCTGGTCCCCGTGGATGGGGGCGATGAGGTGACCCGCCCACGCCGAGCTTGGCGCTGGCCCCCGTGGATGGGGGCGATGAGGTGACCCGCCCACGTCGAGCTTGGCGCTGGCTCTCCGTGGATGGGGGCGATGCTTCCCCAGGGACCGACCCCAGGTACCGGCCCCAGGTATGGAGAGGGAGGGCAAAGCGACGAAATGTGCTGAAAACACGTGTCGATCTTCCTGCCTCCTCTGTGTTTAGCTCCGGCTTTGACGAGGGCACCGTGCCGTGTCATCGGGCCGTGTCTACGTGGGGACACGGGCTGCAAGAAGCTGCCTGGAGCTGGCTCATCCGGGTCGTTGGTGTACATTGACGCCAGCATTTTGTCCCCAAGCTTGCTTAGCGGAGACCGTCCTGCAGGCGAACGCACCCGGGGACCCTGACCGGATCGGAGAGCCCCGCATCGTGCAGGGAGCTCGGAGGGAGGGCACCCCGAGTGCCTGAGCTGGATTGGAACCAACGGGAAGGTTAGAGCAGCCTAGACCCAGAGCAGGGATGGGGAGTGAGTCTCTCCCTGGCTCGCTGTGATGCTGACGTGTCCTCAGCTTGTGGGTTAAGGCAAAAGAAGGTAAAATGTCTTCGTCTGACTGAGTTCCTACAGGTTCAGTGTCGACTTAGTAAACTGAGTGTTTTTACTGTGCCAGTGACGATTAAGAAGCGTGACAGGAAGTGTGTAGTTAAATTGATTGGGCTGGCAACAGACGCGGTAGCTGGGATCTCGCAGGTTTCCAATACCTTAGTTAAAAAGAAATTTTAGGAATGTAGGCCACTCCTTAAGTTTAAGAGCGCTCTGAACTTTGAACTGTCGAGATCTTTGGCGGACTCAGGCTGGAAGGCTTAGCTCACTCATCCGTGGATCATGTGTCACCTCCTTAGAAAGCCTTTTGCCAGATCTCATTTTAAAACAGAATTCTGTATCGTCATCAGCAGTGAGCGTGGCGGCCTGAGAACCTTTTTCCTTGCGCCTCACCCCTGGATGCCCAGCTGGCGTCAGGTGCTGGACTGTAACAGACTGAGACGGCCAGGGTGCTTGCCGGGCTGGAAGTGACATTCTAGGGGAGTGAGCGGACGGAACAGCAGACGAGAAGGACAGGCCGGGGCGCCTGGAGGGATTGCTGGGACTGTGCCCGGGACCCAGCGCGCACGGGCACGGCCTCTGAGCCCTTAGCCTCCCGTGAGTGACACGGCGAGCGAGGGGGTGCTCAGCCCCGGCTGCGGCAGTCTGGCCAAGCAGCTCCTGGACGTCCGGTGTGACCGCCTCCAGGGACAGTGTCGTAGGACCGCCCCGATTTGGAGTCCTTGATGGTCTGGCCGTGCGTAACCGCAGGGCCTGCGCGGTCACACGCGGTGTCTGAACGCCGCGTGGAGCAGACGCTCCGGACGAGACCCCGCCTGACCACGGAGGCAAGCGCGCGCCTCCCCGATTCCCCGTCGCGGGGCACGGGCTGCGCTTCGGTCCTGACACGCTCCGCTCTGCACCGGTGCATTCATCACCCCACGGAGGTCGGCGGAGACCTCTCTGGGTCCCGGAGACGCGGCAGCGGACGGGAAATGCAGGGCTCCCCACGCCCGCAGAGGCAGAGGCCCTGGTTCTGCCACGGGACGCCCCGTCTTTTCCGACCTGCCGCCGACCCCACCGCTCAACGAAGCGCCACGCTCGACGACAGTGGCTCCGTGATGCGAACGGAGCCCTTTCACGTTCTGCCGTCAGCGACGCGTAGACATCGTGATCGTCCGTGGTGTTCATTCTTCGGGATGTGGGCAGCTTAGCTTTTAAGACGGTGACGCTGGTACGTTAGACGCCCAAGTCCTGGGCCGCGAGAGTGTTTTCCTCGTCTTGTGCACACGGCACGTGTCCCTGACCGGCTGCATGGTCGTGACACAGCTGGAGCGAGGGTCCAGCGTTAAACGTCCCGAGATAAATCATCGCCACATTGTTGCTTGAGTGGCCATTTCAGTGGGAGAAGCACATTTTCTGTTGAGAGCCAGCGCGAGTGTCTCCTTGACCCACGGTCCAACAGTTTTTGAGCAGCGTAGGTTTGATGGTTTAGAAAGAGCTCGAGAGATGAAAACAAGTCTCGTGGAGTAAAAATTCTCCCTTTGAAGAATCGCTCACAGGAGCCCTCGTCTGAAGCTGTGTCATTCGTCCATATCGATCAGGAACTCGGGGTCCACTGTCATTTCCCCCGTTTGCCGACACACCAAAGTGACCACGTCCGCGTTGACGGAGCGTCAGCTCAGCGATGGCTGTACTTCCTTAGACAGGACTCTGCGTTCTCGTGAGCATTTTGATCTCGAGACATTGAAGCAGAGCTGCGGGATTGAGTCGATTTTTTTCCTCTTTCGTGCTTTTAGTACCAGACAGAGGCCCTGCCTCCTATCACGTGTCAACACGGGTGACAGTGTCTGCGGGACACAGTGCCCTGTAGTCTGGGCGTGGGCGCATTCGCTACACTGTTTGCGGGGTGACCAGCTCTCCCAGGAGCAGGCCAGCCACGGGGGGGCAGCCCCCCGTCCACCTGCCTGCGGGAGCCGTAGGTCCAGAGAACTGCTCCCCAGGCGCCCTGGGTCTGGAAAACCCGTGTTTGAGAAACAGACATCAAAACGGAGGCCACACAGCGGAGGACTTGCCGACCTTTGGGTCCAGGGTCCAATGTCCAGTCTGACGAGGGCTGGGGGTGGGGGTGGGACTGGGTCTGTGACAAACCTGTGTCCTCCGGAAGTCACAGGGCCTGGGACACAGACCCCACCCCAGGACTGGACTCCCCAGGAGGTGGCCTGAGCCGGGAGCTCCCAGGGGCAGAGAGGGCCCTTCACAGAGGTCGGAGGGTCCGGGCAGAACCCATGGGAATGTTCCGCCAGCTGCCAGATGCTGGGCGAGCACCTGGCGTTTCTAAAGGACAAATATTTGAAACGAGCTTTGCTGTTTTCAAGTATTTTTGTACCGATTTACTTACAGAGCAGAGTATAAAGCACTGTACACAACCCCGTTTCCTTTCGAAAATTATGAGGACAGTAGGTTAACATTACAAAAAGTTAGGGGAAAAATCGCCCATGACGCTGCCTTCCATTTTCCCTACGTGAAAATACATTTGAATGTGGTCGCAGTTATAACGCAGATATAACTGATATTCTGCTTTTAAACGCAGCATCGTCCTCAGCTCCTTCCGTAGTGCGGCAGGCTTCATGGTTCACTTTTAATGGCTGTGTCGTATTTCAGGACGAAGGCGAACGGTAATTACCATGTCTCCTACCGGGCACTTAGGCGGATTCTGACGCTGGTGGGCACCTTCTGGCTTTTGGGTCATTTCTTAAGATCAGTTTCCGGCAATAAGATTACTGTGTGAAAGGGAACAGATGGTTTCAGGACTGTCGTTAAGTTGCCCAACAAAAGGTTTGACCTTTTTCTTTGCACTTTAAGGTGAATCATCAGCCATGAGCCAGCGCTCACGTCTTTGGGCAGTTAATTATTATTTCCATATTAGGCAGCGAGGAGGCTCGTGCACATTCGAATTTCGTGACAGCGCTTTCATTGCACAGAGCTAACTGGCTGAGGGGGACGTCCGGGCTGCGAGGCATCACTTCTGAACGGTCTGGACCAGTCCCAAGTTCGTAATCAGTTCCCAGAGCTGTTCATATTTCTCTTGGCGGAGACGTCTGTCTCTGTGGTCAGATGCAGCCGTGTGGTTTGAAGTTACGGGGCAGCTGATCCAGGTGCCCGTTTTAGCATTAGTCTGTGGCCAGGTGTCTGGGTGTTTTGAGAGAAGTACTTTTGAAAAGTCATTTGCAATTCATAACTGTGAATAGCATCAGAAGAGTCAATATGCGTGTCCTCTGTGGAAATACTCTCTCTCCCCTCCCCCTCCCC